AAATACAGTTTACAGCATACCTGGGTTTTTAACATAGGAAAACCACATATTAGCCATCTGTTATGTGAGATCTGCCCAAAGTCCTACATTTTGCCCATCTATTGACTGTTGACCATTAGAATATGCCTGACCTTTCCAAGTTCCTTCTAAGACACAGAAAGCAATAATTACCAGGGGCTTATGGCCATGATAATCTATTTGATTTTCAGCAAATACCAATGTTTAATTCTGCTGTGGAGTTGCATGTTGATAATTATTCTAAGTGAATCCTACACTTTGGGTTCTTTTTTTAATGTGACAGGATTGTGGTTTTCTGAGCAGCTTCAGTAAGAATGAAGGAAACTGTTACTCCTCTGGAGAAGACAATACTACCAAAGGCATTACTGCTCAAAAGCTTTCACTTAGGTAAAGACAACTCAGTATTCTGAATCTCTACAACACAGCCATCTTTTCTGTGCTGTGTTATGTATAAAGCAAGAATAAACTGTAATCCAGGGATTGCTGCCTTAAGAGTGGCACCAGGGCCAGCAAACATACACCACTATTTATACAGCTACTTGTAGTCCCAAGCTCGTCCCTTTTTTCACAGGAGTCAGTGCTCTAATCTACTTTTACCTCGAGTATTTTTAAATATTCATTCTGTACACCTTGGGCTTCATTACAAATATTTGCAAGGAAAACATGTCACTTGAAAGGTACAATGGAACACTACCTTGCCTGTCTTCTGCTCCAGGGAAGTTGAAACTGGAAACTTAAACAGAGCAACTGGCAGGAGCAAGCTGAAGTAATCCAAGATCTGGAAAAGCAAATAAGAGTGGAAAGGTCCAGTATCAGCAGCTGATTTTAACAACCATAAAGTATTAACAAAGGAAAACTGAGTTTGCAAATAGTATTAGCTGGTTTGCCTATTCTTTATTAAAACCTGCTTTTTTTTTTGAACTCTACTTGGTCTGTGACACCACTCTACATGTAAGAACTAAGACAGGAGGAAAAAGAAACTTCTAATCACTTGCAGTAAAAAGGAGTCTGGTCAACAAAGCTCTTCCTTATAAATGTCAATAATGCACTGTCCACAATTATAATTAGATTGCTGCAAGATGTGCCTCCAGAACACTGGTTTACCTTTATTTGAATTGCTGTGCTTGTCAAGCTCTTTTCAACACCACCTTAGCCTAAAGTTTAACTAAAGAATTAAGGATGATTCCCTAATGTTCCTTTTGCCAATCAAAGCAAAATCTCTGGCTGAGTATAAATAGCAATTCCATTGAAATGCAGCTAACGAATCACCTGATTACTGTCCAGATCCTTGAAATCCAGCACAGTGATATGCACTCGTGAGGGAATATCAACGTAATAGCAAAAGATGAACATAATTAAAGCTGAGTATCCATGAAAACAAGCATGAAGTTTGCAACATTTATCTCCTGTACCTCGCCTGAAACCAGAGGAAACAAGTAAAATAGAAAATAGACCATTAATACATTGTGCTGTGTAGCTCGAGGACCTCTTATGTTAATGGTTTCAACTTCTGAGGGTGGAGTTGTATTTTTCAAAATAATGAAGTCCAAGGCACTCAAACCCAGTCTTTTCTTCATTGTTACCTCAACCATCTGCAGGAACCTTTCTGAACACCTGCTCCTCTCTGCAGGTAACCTCGGCCTCTCTCTCTGACACATCTCCCTGAGGGACCACAGTCTCTTCAACCTCCATTTAGGGTCCTTTTATGGGATGGGATTCCCCTCACGATCTAAGCACCAGGAGAGGAGAGCTCTTTGTAACAACTCTCCAATCTGTTCCTTGTAGGAATACAGTTAACATACTGTCTTGACATTTAAGGAAGGGGAGGAGGAATTAGTCTTAATTAAGGGCTTCTGCAGAAACTCTTAACAGCTGAGTCACTGATTGGCTTCTGAGAGAACGAGCAACATTTACTTGCACAGTCACCACCAAGACTGAATCAACACAGAAAGGGAGGGGTTAGTCACAAAAAGGACTAGATCCAGCTTAAAGATACAACAAAAGAAAGCACATGAATCATGTTCAACTAACCCGGGTTTCATTTTCACTAGTAAAGCTTTCTAAATGCTGATTATGAAGCTGCTTCTCATACAACCCAATTTTATCCTTCGTATGTGTGCTCATTATTACATGAAGAGGTAACTACTTCACAACAAAAACTTACAAACACTCCAAAGCGAAAGGTTTCCAATTCTGACATCGGGTATTCACGATGGATACTCAGAATTACCCTGTAGCTTTAGGGATAATCGTATTTCCTTCATATAAACTCAAGCACCCAAAAGAACCCAGCACATATTTTAGCACCAAATAAAACAAAACCAGATTTGGTTAGGTTTTAGGCCTTAAAAAAAATAAATAAATTAAAAAAAAATCAAAAGAAAACCAGAACAAGCAAACAAAAAAATCCAATTACATACACATTTTAACTCTGCACTTGGAAAACATGAGTTATAAACTACAAGGATGCACAAAGAACACATTGTGCCAAACACATCTAACAGTTTTATTTGATAAATTACTGGTATAGTAGAGAAAGACAAGAAGAATGAACATAATTTATTAAGACCTTCTTTAAAGCGTCCATTTTCCCCTAGAGCTTATGGAAATAGCAAAGCAACAAAAACATGTAGCCCTGCAAGAATAATTTAAATGTAAGTGAAGAAGCCACAGGAAGGCAAACAAGACATTTAAGGTATTATTTTAAAAAGGAGAAAATATGGATTATACTGCCCAAGTGAAGTTTCACTTAGAACTAATTAATCTTAATGTACAAAATAAAACATTGCCTACACAGCAACAAAATATTTGGAAATAATCAATTTGCATTTTGCAATCAGTCTCATGTTAGAATCTGAGCTACAGAAGTCAACAACAGCTTTCTTGCAGGCTTAATATATCAACATTTGGGCCACTGTAGTAAACATGACCAATTTGTCTGAAGCTTTTTATACACACACTAATGACATTCTATACATAAATCAGATGACACAGTTGAAAAGTGACAGTATTTTTAACTCTTGCAGAAATAGACAAAATTATAAATACATGAAATAATATAAATAAATGTAATTGACATAAATGAAGCTGCAGATACTGGAGAAGAAAGAATGACTGACATATATAAAACTGAATAATTCAATTTACTGCAAATTCACAAAAGGATTCATGTGACAGACAACAAAATGAATATGAGAGGATTATACATTGTAACTACAAAAAGGCAAATCCTATAAAGTACACACACAGTTGTAATATGCATGACAAGTGGATAATCTCATGCTCAACATTAAGTTACGTGAGTTGACCCAAGCCATTGTTTTCCATAGCATCTCTATATCCTCCAGTTTTCCCAACATGTAAAAATATTAAGTAAGTCACTAGCAAAGCCAATGGAAAATGCAAACATACAATTCAAAGGCTGTCAAACTAAAATATTTGACTATTACTACAGGCTTTCTGTAACACACTCTTCTCATTGCACTCAGACTGAGACATAAACCATAACAAAGGTAACAAATTATAAGAAATTGAAAAAAAGCCTGAAAAATGGACTCAAATAAAAAAAGTTTAATAAATAAATTAAAAAAGCACGAGAATTCCTTTTCCACACACAGAATGTAACTTTTAAAGGCAGGAATTGTACTCTGCTGTCATTCAAAGATTTAAAACTACTCAGAATGTCTAAAAATGCATTTGAAGGGAAATGTGAAAGCTGGTTATGAAATCGGGGGGCCTGCTATTTATTGGAGATAAGAGACATCTTGTCCTGAGGAAAAAGGAAAAACATTTAGCGGCACTTTTCCATTAGACATTTCAGTGATTCAATTTAAAACTAAGATCTTAGCACACGCTCTGGAATGTCTTACTTGAATCATCAACATTTGAAAACTAAATACTCAGAAAGCTGCAAACTGCTTACAATTGACATATTGTGTGCACATATTCTTTGAACTGAACTTTGCATATTCCTGTTTTTAAGTGTCAAATCATTAACGATTTTTAATGACATTAAAGCCCACAAAAATAATTTGAGCCTAAGCTGTGTTTCCTGTCTCAAAAGCAACTTTCACCTGAGCATCGCTGAGCTCACATTTTAGGTTTCAGCCTAGAATCAAGAATAAGTGGACTTTTTTTTTGGGGGGGTGGAGGGCGAGGGCAGGTGTTTTTTAGTTCTTTAGTTCTGGAATTTACTAATTTCTTAATGACTTATGAAAGATCTGCGATATGAATCTGTTCCTTGAACACGTGGTATCCCTGGGAAAACACAGCTCCCTCTGCCCTGCCTATGGCGTTCTCACCCAGCCCACCCACGTTCCGCTCAAATCCTTTAGGAACTGCTATGAGAGCACCTGATCCATCACTTGGGACAAAGCGCGTAAAGCACCAAGAACGATTTTAAGCGTTAGTGCCTTACACATTAAACATAACTCTGCGATCCAAACGTAGGCTGGTCATTGCAATGACTGCCTTGGTTTTGCTGGGATTTGCTGCAGTACACTGTATTTCTGGATTTGCTGTATTTCTGCCCAGCCCGAGGGTCCCTGCCCGCACACCGAGCGAGAGCAGGCGGGCAAGCGGTCCCACCAAATAAAACACTTAAATTAGTGCGAAACGTTCCCGTGGGGCGGTTCAATACCCAAACGGGAGGGAGGGGAGGATGGAGGGGCAGCGAGGCGACCCCGGACCCGCCCGGGGCGGCGGGCGCGGAGGGCACAGGGAGCGGCACGGCCGCAGGGAGCGGGGGCAGCGCAGGCACAGCGCTCCGCTCCCGGCTCTCCTCAGCACCCGCTCCTCCCGCCGGGAAGCTCGGCAGAGACGGGAGGGAAGGGGAGGGAGAAAGGAGCAAAATGGAGACTTACGCTCCCGCAGTGACGCGCATGCGCAGCGCCGCCTATGGCAGCGCGGGGCGGGCGGTGCTCCCTCGTCCCGCCCGCCCTTCCCAGCCCTCACCAGCTTTCAGCCTCCCTCAGTCGCCCCCCTGGCACGGGCAGGGCGGTGCTGCCGGCCGGGAGTGTCCCGCCGTGAGGGGAGCGGCTCCTTGGCCACGGTGGCCGACCCTCCGGTGACAGCCCTCCCTCCACGGGCAAGGTACAGCTGGGGAGCGGAGGAGGAGCACACCCGGGGCTGTGCCGTGGTCGGCAGGGAGAAGTCACAAATTGAGCCTCACAGATTGGGTGGACTTGGCATCGCAAGAGGTCACAGGATTACAAATAGGGAAAGTAATGTCGCGGTGTGCGTCCCGTGCTTGTGCTGCTGCCCAGGTGTCTGGTTTGGGCCACACTGGAGGCGAGAGTTGTAACATTCCCGATAGTTTTACTTTCCTCTGACGTGGCTTTAATTTTTGGTTCCGTGCAGCGCCAGTGAGACTCCCCCGCCCCGTGCCGGGTGCGGGCAGCGCTGAGGACCCCGTTGATCTCCCTGGCACAGACAGGGGTGTTGGAGCTCCTCAGTTCGGTATCGGACTCAAACAGGGCGCTCTGAAGCAGCGGCTCCTTCCAGAGCAGCACATCCAGCACCGTCATCAGCTTCTGCCTTCGAGTATTTCTCCGTCCACCGCTTTCCTAAAGGAAAAAAAGCATAGTTAGTACCTTGCTTTTGCTAGGTTGGACTGAGCTTTTGTAGTGAAGACAAGGTCTTACAGAAGAAAGCCAGGTTTCTAATGGGCCTTTGGTGTGTAGAGAGTTCATTTTCAGCCGGGTACCCAAGAATGCTCTCTTAAATAGCTACTTTTATGTATATCCACTGTAGAGGAATTAAGTTGCTGAACATTACTTTTATTCCAGTGCTTCAGGCAATCAGAGATGCTGGGCTCAAGCCCAAACCTTGAACTTTATTTTATATTCTAAAGAAAATTAGTATGAAAGACAGGTTTGATGTATTTGCTGGAGCTGATACCATTAAGAAGTGATGCAAGGCTCTTTTACTGCTGTATGAATGAGTACTGCCACAAATAATGACCAACAGTGCAAGTGTCATAACTTATCCTGTACACACATATTGAAGACATTGTTGTCACCAACTCATGAATGTGGTATCAAGTATCATTATTACTTAATGCCAACAGAGAGCCAAGACTGCCTTTTTATGCCACTGCTGTGAGTAATGCCTAGGTATCTGTACTCCCATACAGCAAAGTCCCCAGCCTAATCCCAAAAATCACTCCATGCTGAAGTGACAGAATCAATTCTCCCTGCTGTTACACATTTTGTCAGCCCTTTGTGACACTGCACAGCGACAGGTCCCTTGAGACTGTTATCTGCAAAGCTCCCCCAGATATGTCCCTTTTACGGTCCATACACCTGTCTTCTAGGATTATGCAACTGAGAATCCAGCAGTGGCTGCTCTTCCTATATCCACTTGATCCTGAGAAACATACTGAGCACTCATTTTGTTTACAGAAGCAAACACAGTGTGTACAATTCCCATATCTAGTGAAGTATTTTGCCATCAAAGGGTCACCTTATTTCTCAATTATTATCTTCTGCAGTTACACCCTGAATGGCAGACGGACCTTCACCTCAAGTTACCAAGTCACTGCAAATGCTAATTTCGGTGTAATAATTTTTCGCTCTCTTTATGTTCCTGAAGTCCTAGCATGAAGTCCTGGTGGTTTTAACGACACTACAGTTGCCCATTGGTTTTATTACCTTGCACTGATTTGGTAATTTTCCTGATGTCTTATTGAACTCACTGAACTGAGTTAATAAATAACAGTGCAGCAGGCAACTGCCAGTGACTGTTTCCCAAAACTGACTCCATTTGTCATAAGGAACATGAAAACAGTAAAGTCTGTATCTTGGTTTCAACAGCCTAATCTGCCCATCACACCCTGATGAAAATACACTCATGTGTCCTTTTATGTGTGTTATCCCTTGTTTACTCAGTACTTTAAACTACTATACAAAAGCGTTGCCTCTTTTGAGGTTGGCGGGCAAAGATAAGAATTTAAGACTGTTTTGTTATTCCAGGGCCACGCTCGTGATTCCATGAAAACAAACACTGTACTGGAGTATATGCTGGAAAAGTAGGGATTTCAGTAAAGCAGTACATCAGAAAATCTGCTTAAATATGTCAGAAAGTTTTAAAACCAGCCAGAAAAAAACCAAACAAAGAACCAAAAAAAAAGAAAAAAAAAACAAACCATGAACCCTGACTGTTATTCAACAGTGTTGAAAACTGCAAATTCTAATCTCTTTGAATAGCTCTAGACATAATTCTCCACTTCTAACTTTGCAACCCCTGTCTGTAACCAGAGATTATGTGTTACATAAATACTTACAACTGCTAAGATTTGTAAGAAACGTGGGAAGAGGTAGGCTACTGCTACAGCAAAAGCCTTGGCTTACAAAAATACAGCTTTAATATTCTCTTATTAACAGAGAAAAACAAATACAATCCATAAGCAGAAGTGAAGTGTGTTTCTAGATAATCTGCTTCTAACATTCAGCTGAGCATGAAATCTCTTGAAGAAAAGCCTGGTAGGGATCCCAGGAAAACATTCTTTTAGGTCACTGCTGCTTATTTGTTTGATGGGGCACTTCACTTTGTTCCTTTATACTGAGCTGCTTTATATTTGTGTAGTAACAAATTTTTCCTCCCTTTAATCCTCAGCAGGAGCACAAGTCCTTAATATCTTGTCTTTGCCAATGTCAGAGTTTCAGTAAGTAAAGTCTTCATAGAAGGTGTTTTACCTGCAAAATGATATATGAAAGTCTATCTGCCTCTGTGATGGATTGGAATTGTATTTATTTTTCAGTGAATTCTCTGGTTTCCAATATGAAACAATCTTATATTATCTTAAATTACAAGTCTCAGAGCTGTGATGTTACACAGCATGTATTTTCAAACATTCTTCTGCCTTTTGCCTTAATATTTGTTGTGTATCCAAGAAGGAGGAACATAGTGGTTCTGAAGAAGTAAAAAATGGTATTAGTGAATCAGAAGCTGGCAGTTTTGTCATGTAACAAGGAGATTCTTCTCATGGTCTGTTTCTGGGTTCTAAAACTTGAAGTGTGTTTGTTTCTTCTTTCTATGTGAAATGATATTCACAACCCTCAAGACTGTGTGAGAAGAGACCTTCACAAAAGGAACCCATGAGAAAAGCAACAAAGCATCATAGGACTTTCTAAAGAAATTTTCACTGTTTTCTTTCTTTAGTATTCAATTCTAAAGCTATCTTTTGTTGGTTTTATTTAGATGGGATACAGAGATTATATTGTGTTGGAATACTGCTATTTTAGGGAGTCTGGGCCTGAAGGACTCGTACGGTATCACTCTCATGGCTGCTTCTTTGTTACTGTGATTTAGGTGTCCTCTCACTAAGTATTTTCTTCAAGCCACAGTGTATTATCCACTGGCCAACTCACCAACTACTTCTTTAAGACCAGTTGGCCGTTTCTTCTAACTTGCTCTTAGTCATCTCTCTTTTCTCAAAACTGGGAAGAATATTCCTGGGTTTGGCAGAGTAACAACGATCCTGCATTGGACCAAAGCAGCCCTTCTGTGCAGCCAGTCATTAATTCCTCTCTGCTAGCTTGTCATCACCAGATGTCTGCTGAGTTCACACCCTCTGCATTTCCCGTGACTGCACCCACAAGGCATCCACAAATGGTTCTGTATTTTCAATGTGAGCCCCACATCCTTTTTTTGAACATTCCTCTTTGCTACCTGAGCAACTGCAGCTGCTCCACAGCTCCACAGCCTCTCTTTAGGTTACATGTCATACTTCTCTCCTGAGTGAATGAGTCTACAAACAGCAGAAGAGTATAATTTACTTTTACTTTAAGAGTTTCAGCACTTGTGTTTTGGAAAGTGGGTTTCGCAAACAAAGTAATGAGAAATATTAGATATCCAACACAGAAAAATATTTCCAGGTTTATATCACCAAGTAAACCACAAAATGGGTTTGTTTGCCATAAGAAGCACTGGCTATGAAGTCTCTCTCTGCCCATAATGAAGCATATCTGAAGGAGGACTCACAGCTACATCTAAGCATGAGAAGTGTAGGCACATTTCCCTGGGGAAATGGCACTCACTGAACCTGCTCACCAGCAGTAGGTGCAATTAACTGTGTCCAATTTACATTTGGAGCACGAGGGACAAGCTTTCACAGCACGCCTAATGCAGCAAACACAACGAGCTGGGCTTTGTGAACACAGTGCACAGTTTCTCAGTTCAATGGGAAACTTTACCAAATGTATGTGCAAGGTATAATTACAGCGTGTCACAAATAAACTTTCGAAAGGATCATTGAAACAACACTCATATCTTGAAAAAAAGGAACTGGTTAATTGATGCAGGTTCATAGACGTATGTCATAGCACACAATACAATTAATAAAATATAAACACCAATTTTCAAATCAACACAGCTTGATAAGTTGAATTCAAATTTTAGGAACAGCAAAACAGCTAAAAAACACCATAAAGTAAGCCCAATCCTTCAGCTGACTAATAAATATGAAGGAAAAAAAATTGGAAACCATTAATATTTTTCTAACTCCTTAGAGGTCTGTCTTTCATGTTTTTTTCATGCTCTCTGTGGCCACTGAGACTAGTAGGAAACCAGCCAATTTAGTCAAAAAACTTTGCAGCATAGCAGGGAGTCTCATTTGTCATCACATGCAATAGCAGCTGTCTCTGTCAAGAATGAAGTTAATCAGTACAGACTACATAAATTAGGAAATTCTTTAGATGGTTAACAATGTACCTTTGAACGAACAAAGACCAATCTTTGTCTCCTGATACTGGGAAATTTCTCTTTCAAATATGCCAGTTTTGTGGTTTGAAACTAAGGAGCAATGAAATTCCTTAATGTATTTTTTACACAAGTATTTCTGGCAACTGAAGATACTCAGTGCACACAAGGGACACTAAATGTTCTAATTGGAAGAGCTATATCCAGACTCAGATTTTTTTCACCTTTCTTCACCTTCTTCCATTCTATTCTTAACTATTTCATATTGTTGACTAAGTTTCTAATCCAGGTCAAATTTGAGAATTGCAAGAAACAAAGAGTATAAAACCTTGGGATTATGTTTCTTCATGTTAAAAAGCCCTGAAATACACTATTTTGAGTATGCTGAACATGTAGCAAATAAATCTCTAAAGATACTGAACTTCATGAAATTTTGCACCCTCCTCAGTTTTGGCACTAAGTAAAACAGTTTGTGTGCCATTCAGGAAGACAGAATTTTCTTCTTAAAAATTCATTCCATACAGCCTTGAGAACATTTAGGACCCTTCTAACCCCAAGTATTTTCAGTTTGCACAATGCCTCTAGCCTAAAAACACAGATTGATGATGTGTTTAAAATTATCCAAGGAACATAAATGAAGGAAGAAAGAGCTTTATGCCTCTTTTCTTTACCACCACCGCTGTATGTTTATTATGGAATTTCTATGTAAAGCAGGTAACCCAGCATTAAAAAACTGACCTGGTCTGTAAAATATGAGAGTTGCCTGTTTAGAACTCTGGCCTACAGCCATAAAAATTTGTTTAGTTATCTCACAGTTATGTCACATACTCCTTCCTCAAAAGATCTGGGCTAGATTAATTTGATACTGTAAAAATATGTTATGTGAAAAGACGAGCTGACGTATCAGCCTTCAGTTTTGAGAGGAAAGGATATCTCAGAGGGCTGACTGGTTCATGATTGTAAGAATGATCTAGGAGTGGGGTAAAAAAGGCCAGTGCTGATGCACCAGCTTAAGGGAAAGCCCAACATTTGTTTATATTATTAAATGACCTTACTATTGGCATAACTCTGTTTATGTTGCAATCATAAGGTACTGGGAAAGGACACACTCCCAGGTATCTGATGCACAGATTCTGAGGGCATGCTGGGTTCTCAGAATGCTGCTTGCCTGAGCTGACAGAGGGCCTTTTCCAAGGATACCATGTGATGAACACCCTCAGTGACTTTTAGAGGATGATACATAGAATACCAGTGTAAAAGGCAGAAAAGCAAACTGGTTTGTACATAAAGACTTCAGTATTTACCTCACTCTTCGATCACTCTTCGTTAACTCTTTCTGAAAACAACAGTGAAGATTTTCACTTTGTTTCAGGTTTTATTTTAATTCTTTCTGCAATTCTTGGGAAAAAAAAGATGGTATATGTTGCTGTTTAACTAAAGAAGTAACAAAAACATTAAGCAAGATCATTTTGATATAAAAAAACTGGATCTTTATCACAAAAAAGAAGACAAGGAAACTTTCATGTGCTACAGAAAACTCACTTAACCTTTAAAATCTGCTAGGCAGTTTTGTGAGGAACCACAGCAACTAAAACACATATTACAATAATTAAATATAAAAGCAAGGGTTGAGCATCACATATGTTATCTACAAAAGTTGTTAGACAATAGATGGGAATGTTAATGCACAGAATATTCATGTTGTGCTGCTATCAAGGGCATACATCAAAGTGGAGTGCTTTTTTGCAGAATCAAGGGAAAATGACTGTTGTTTTGGCACACAGTATGACATGGCATGTCAAAAGAAATTATAAAATGTTTTCAAGATGTACTGAGTATATCACTTATAAAGTATTGTGTTTACTAGGAAGGAAGAACCAAAAGGCAGAGGAGTTGGAGGATCCTCACAGCCCTTAAAGCAGCCTAGGTAAGCATGGTTACAACTTTTGGGCTTTTGCAAGCTAGGCCTAATCTTCACAGACAAGCTCTCTGTGAGCAATATGGCACATAGGGATTTACAGAACCTACATAAAATTTAAAATTTCTTATTTGAAGTGATTCCATTTTGAGAAGCTTAAAATTATCTTTTCCTCCTGAAGGTTCCATAAGATGTTGATTTAGAGCTCCATTTTACGTAGAAAAATGCTCTAAATTTCTCTTGTAAGCATTTCACTGGAAATAACAAAGCCATTCATAGGTTTGCTCAAATATATTTTAAATTGGTTGATGGACTAACATTGAAGGACTAAGCAGAGCTATGGATTCACTTCCCGTGAGTGATTTTTATAAAATTTCCATATGTCAGTGACACAATGTCATTTAAGGACCTTTTTTCTAAATCACATAAAACCGATTTAAATCAGTTACTGTTTTTAATCAAATTCTGCTGCCCCAACTTAGAGCTTGTCCTTTGAATCCATAAATTACCTGAAGGAAATTTACCTTGAGTATGATAAAGTATTGACAAACACGTAACTCATCCTCTGACAATTCTTGGTGCTTGTGAAAAACGTTCAGTGGTGAAAGCAGCTGTGCCAGCAGCTCCTTCGGTGCAGTTACAATCTTCCTTGACAAGACCACAAAAAACTGAGAAAGCTGAACAGTTTCCACACTCCTGATAACTGACATATTTCATGTTTTCCTCTTTGTGCTCTGTTTTGAGTAAGTAAGGGACATTCCAATATTTTTAGATTCCTTTTTTGTTTGCTTTCTCTGGTGATTGCTTTTAGCAGGTGAGTGAGGAGCTTTGAAAGTGACTGTAGGTTTCACAGACTGTGTATGCACGTGCCTCTGGGAGCACCTCTGCAGGCTGCAAAGGTGCTAGAAAACACAGGAACAAGTTTCAAACAGTACTAAAATACTCTCTGGTAGTAATTTTTATTACAGCATATTCTGACCTTTTAAGTCATAAGGAACTGATATTATTACTGTACTTTTGGTAAATGGGAATCATCAAACTGCTGTTCCTCAAGATCATTCTGAACAGCTGCAAGGACAGTTGCCTCTCTGGGGCTGCTGGTGGGGATGAAGGAGGGCACAGAGTTGTCTCTCCCTGGTCCCACCTCATGCTGTCTATGCCAGATAAGGCACTGTCCAACTGGGAGCTGGCTCTATAATCTCTATCACTGCTGGGAGGGAAGAGGGAGCCTCCACAATGGAATTGCTGCGGTACAGATACACAGTACAAATTCAAACTTAGCATAGGCTGAATTCTGCAAGAGGAAACTTCACACCAGGTGTCAGAATTGTGTTTTGGACATTAAGAAACTTGGGTTTGGTCCCGTTTCTTAACCAATATAAATCTCAAATATGACTTGGAGAACTCTTTTATTTGGCATCTGTAGCCAAACAGTTTTCTCAACTCCTGTTCAGAGTGTGTCAAAATTATTACTGTAAGCATTAACTGGATAACTTAGCTACAGTCTGATAGTCATGTGTTGGCTAGTTGCTTCAATGTCAATATGCTTTTTGTTTGCTGACATTATTTTAGCATTACCCATAGTTTGGGTAATATGTCTTCTTGTTTATATTTGGGAGTATTAATAAAGCACATAAGACCTATCTTACAGTTCTTTCAATAAGAAGCCCATGAAGTTTTGAATAGATGTTCCCTGACTAACATAAGACCATGACCAGTTTTCTCTGTTAGCCTGTGGCTCTCACACCTGGATTAATCTTGGAATGTAGTCAGCAAGTAGGAAGGCAGTAGCAGAAGAAGGATGGCCTTGTGCAAAGACTGACAAAAATTCACAGCACTCACTGTCACAGTCTCAGCACAGTCTTGTCACTTTATTCCCACTTGTATCACTCCTTTGGGAAAGGGAAAGTGTTTCAAACTGGGGTGTCAGCAAAAGTGCCACTACTGCTGGTTGGACAGAGGGAGAATCTAAAGGTATCTGGGTTTACTGATGATTCTCAGTAATAAACTGTTGGCTGCCACTCTGCTTTCACCTTCATCAGTACTCTGTGACTGTGTCTTCTCTGTGCTCCCTAGCAAGTGTTCAGAGAGCTGACCAACTGAGACTAAACTTCTGAAAATACAAGCTGCATGAATGAATCAAAAGCTACATTGCTAAATTCCAGGGGAAGACCAAGATATTTGAGGTTTCAAATCAGTCCTTTACAAGCCTCCCAACTGGATTCATTATGAAGTCGCTCATCTTCTAGATGGAACATAATAATTCAACAGAGAAATTCACAGGCCTTTAAATGGTTGTTTTGCTTTCATACTTTTTTTTTGTGAAAAAGATTAGAGTACAAAGCAAAACTGTATCGCTATCACAAGAAACTTCTAAGCAAAACAAAATTAACATGAGAAGCAAGTAGAGCATTACAGAGAAAAATGGTGCTACTCAAGAAACAGATAGTACTATTAAGATCGTTTAGTTGGCAAGACAGAAAGCCTGGACTGATTGCCAGCAGAATGGCAACAGAAACATTCAGAAAAATTCCAGTCTCACAAACATTAGGCCACATGGGAACATTTAAATGCAGTGCAGTTTGCTTCCCTAAAGAAGTGATGGGAAAAAAATGTTTCTTTTGTTTTCGCAGAGGAGAATTTTATATTTGGTAGAGGAGAATGAGTATAAGCTATAGGCAGAATTTTAATCTAGATTGGCATTCCACTCAGGCAGGGAGTAGGCAAAAAGGCTTGTCTTAGCTGATGTATTTTGTGATTGCTGTAAGATGGGGTAGGATTCTCCAGTCCTCGCTCATTCCTCACTCAGTGTCTGGAATGCACAGGTACAGGGAGCCCCTCTCTGCTTGGAAGCGAAGCAGCGTGTGGTTTGATCTGGTACCATAATTCACTGGTGGCATGAGAACAGGGTATAGATAATGGCATATGTAAAAACTCAGTAACAGACTATTTCAGCTGGAAGCTGCAGTGTTTGAAGGAGTGCAGCCCCACCCTTGGACACTGAGGAGAAATCATAACCAAGTTCTTGTACTGTAAAAGAAAGTTGCTGAGGTTTTTTCCTAATACCTTCTTTCTCATTTCTTCCTTTTGCTGTGGTCTGTCTCCACAGGGAGCAGGATCTAGCTCTGGCAGCACTAAAATTTTTATGTGATGTTTAATAAATGGGTCTTGGTTTCAGTCCCTTTTCCATAAGATGTCATTTGAATTTTAATATATTTAGCACAAAATATAAAGCCTATCCCTGTGCAGGTATTTTACCTGTTACAAAAACTGCAGACATTCCACTTGACTGCTGTGAAGGATTATACTTGAAGAATACTAAGATACATAAATATTTGCACAATGACATGAACTTAAGCTGTGCAGGACAAACTTTGCCTAGTCAAACAGAATCTGATGAAAAATTTTTAGATTTAGAGCAAGTTCATATATTTGTACCCCCATCTTCAGAAAAACAAGCCGGTGAAAAAGATACCACTAGAGTCTGAGGGATAAATTGGACCTGAATTTTCACATTTATGTTTTTTAGATTTGTTTTGTACTTAGAATACGAGGAAGCCTATTAGAGTACGTATTGCAACTTTAGAAAATCACTTGTCTCTGAAATATCCAAAATGGTCACTCATGACTTAGAAAAGCCTGAAGAATTTAATGCAGAAAGGTGATTTTCATAATCCTACACGACAGGAAGCACATTGCATGCAGGATCTCTTGTAATGAGCTGGGCACAGCACCTCAAGTGCAAGGAGGGCTTTAACTTTGAAGTCTATGCTCTATGGTTCTGTAATCAAACATGAAAAGTATTAAATTCAATATCAATTCAATATCAAACATAAATAATCAAAATCAATTAAATTCAATATCAAACATAAGTAGTATTAAATATCAGAGAGCTGGCAGGTCACAGTAATGCATTGCCACACTAGAGACAGTCATGGTGGTAAAGCTGCACAACAGTGGGAAAGTAGTGGGGATTCAGTTCATTTCTCATATGTGTTTATTTGTTATTGGTGGGGAACATATTTGTTGATTTACTTGAATAATGCTGCCATTTTGCAATAGGCCATTAGTAAACATTTAGGGATCTTCATTTTATATATAGTTGGGCCCAGTAATCAATCTGTTTATTACTTTAATTATTCTTGCTACAAAAAGGCTTTTATATACTTAAGAAAGAAGATAAACAAATTGGAAAGTGTCCTGCTGGCACACCAACATTTGGGAAAGGATACAGACAGTACATCCTTAGACATTTATATTTATTTCCATACTACAAACTGCTAAGATACTTTATTCTATGCAAACACTGGCAAGAGATCAATATAAACAAAATGATCCCGGATGAGCAGCTCCAGCTCATTGTTTATGGCCATTTCTCATGCAACTGCCTGGTTTAGCTGTTGAACAATTGCTGGTGTTCCTGACTGGAAAGTCTCAGTTACTTTCCCGTGAAGAATCTCGCAAGCGAGGAGTAAGTGACAGTGCAAAATTGTATCCTATGATGATATAAACGATATAAAAAATCACGGCTTTGAGGATAAATCTTTTATTCATAACCATAATTTTCATGCTATTGCATCTCTATTTATCAGCCTCCATAGCATGTCACTTCTCCCATCCATTCTTTTGGCACTGCAGCCAGTAAGATGGATACTCAAGATCTCTATCCAAACATGCATTTTCTAGAACATGAGGTAAAACCAGATGGAATCTGAATTACAAAAGTACAGTAATCACAATGCATATTAATAACCTGTAAAAGTAGACTGAGTCTTTGAAATGTAGTTTACATATAGTCTTTGTATGTAGTGTCTGAAGGTCTTATTTATTATTATTGATTATTTATTAGACATTACTTCCAAACTTCCAAAAATAGCAACTTGTATTTAGAAATATCAACAATAAAAACTGAAGTCCTTCTATTTTGGAATTAGGGTTGCTTAATGTCACAATTTAGGATGGTTTTACTTAATGGTAATTAATAAAATATTGTTTCAATTGTTCTTTGA